AAATCTAGATTTTGAATTTGCAGAGAAGAATTCTGTCTTTCTAAGTTTAGATTTCATCAATTTTATCATGGCAAATCGAGACTTGGTGCATTGTCACAGCAATAATGAATCATAGCTCGATCTTACACTTTTTTGTTGTATTTTCCTTGAATATTTATTTTCTTTTTTCATATTGCGCATAACAATTCTTCTATAGTTATTCCTACAAAATAAAATTAAAAATATGGAGGAAACATGATAATTTATATTTTTTTATGAGAGAAATTATGTGGTTAACATATGGTAAAATGCATTTATCAGAGCATTTATGAAACTCGTCCTAACAGGTTTATCTTGAATCATTAACAGTCAAGATGAGGCAGTTATTGTACTTTTAAAAGGTTAAAAATGAGTTTCAATTACTACGAATTGTAATAAAAATTTTAAAAAATTAAAAGATTACTAAAAGTGAGCAAATTCCATTCAATTCTCTGACTACATATATTCATTTCATTATTCGTAGGATACATGACAACACGGAATCATGCCTTACTAAAGAGGATATGATGTTTACATGATAATTAATACCACTCCATCCCAGTATAGCGTTTTCCCTCCAAAGGATCATAGTTAGCTTGCCTATGTTTCGAGGGCAATAGCTAGTGATTCTTTTGTTAACCACAAGTAAAATACTTGTGTAGCGGGTAGGCTAGAGTTGATAAAAATAAATTCGATATTAGAATTGTAAAATTGTTCATTGCTGATTCAGCCTAATAAAATATTTTATTTGATGTAAAGAAAAAATACATACTTCATTTTATTAAAGGGGTAAAAGAGAATTTAGTATTATATTTAAAAACATATTCTCTCTGTTCAGTTTTAGTTGTCAAGTACTTTAAAATTAAATTTTTATTTTTACTTGTCACTTTTCGCATATCAAGACCTGTTTTGCCCTTAGCATTGAACGGAGGGAGTATAAGCAAGTGAATGATACTTATTATCTCATTTCTTGCATTAAAAATAGTAACACAAAAATTTATAAGATGTCCAGCATAAATCAAGACAAAATAAGGCAGTGGCCAGCTACACGAAGTATTATGTATTCATGCAGGGTTTAGGAAACGACACTCTAACTAGTGTGATGTAGGCAGCCTACTATGATGTGGTTGATTCTGCGGTTTGAACCCGTGACCTGATCACACAAAAACAACTTTATTATTGCTCCAGGACTCCTTTCAAGACAAAATAATAAGTAATTCTAAAAAATACTAAACTGAATGAGCAATACTAACTTTCGATCGAATTATTTTGGTCATTTTTTGTTACTATATAACGATGTGCACGTTTGAAAGTTTTAACTTTAGAAAAAAAAAAATATAAGATGGCAAATATCACATGTTAACAGAAATATTAAATAGTTCAAGAAATAACTAACTTAATAATTTTATTTTTTGGTTGCAAAAGTTGTATGTATACAAGATGTCCATCAAAGAAACCAGCAAATTATTCGGTGGTGTTTGAACTAAAAATTCATTTTAATTTAGTTTTTCAATATTTGCAGTATTCCCAATTGACACATTCTTCCAAATATAATTACAATTTACCAACAAAAAAATAGAAACAGAAACAACGTTAAAATTTATTTATTCAAGGAGGTAGTAGTAGGGTGGGATTGGGGTGGGGAACATTTATGAAACTCGTCCTAACAGGTTTAGGATTTCTCCTCATTCTAAACCCGAACAGGTTAGGTTTAGAATTCTTCTCATTCTAAACCCAAACCGTTCAGGTTTAGAGTTTCTTCTCGTTCTAAACCAAAACAATTCAGGTTTAGAATTCTCTTACTTGTATAAAACTCGCTTTCCTGATCAAAACGTTTCTCCATCCTCAACTCTCTCTAATTCTCTTTGGTCTTTAGTTACAAGAATACAAGTACTATATTTCCTTCAAGCTGTGTTTTGTTTATTTGACGAACAATTAAGTGCTACACAATGCTGACGGTAGATGATTTTTTGGGCATGGAATTTAAGCCCAACATGAGTCGAATGGATTATTTAGTGGATGTTGCTGAAGTTGCTCGGTTAAAATCCATGTATGAAGAAGAATACAACGTAGTTGCTGAACAAGATAAAGAGTATTGCATCAAGAAAGAAGAAAAAATCATGCACAATATTCAGTCCATATTATCATCTTTCCCAGTTAATAATCAAGAAAACCATGTTCTTGATATTGACATCCCAAAGGGGAGAAGATCACTGCAAAACGTACGGCCAAGAAAAGTTACAGAACAATTTATCTGCAGTGAAGAATTGATGATCAAGAAAGCTGTGGAAAATTTAAAAGAAAAAGAAATCAGAGTAGTAAAAGTTGGTGATGGGGAAAATAGAGCGATAAAAATCAATTGGGCCGTTGGTGCTAATTTTGCAATAGGAAAATCAAGAGCAGGAAAAGCAGACTACGACCCACTTGGTTTAAGCAATGAAGAATACTTCAAACCAGAAAAGAAGGAAGAGGAAGATAAAGAAGAGGCTAAAAGGGAAAAGAAGAAGGTGAAAAGGAATATTATTGTTATGGTTGCATCTCCTGTTGTAATTAACGACCAACCAAGAGAATTACCAATAGAATTCAAGAATAAAATAACAGAGATTGGCGGTTCAGTTGAATCAGCAATATTAGTCATCGAAAAGAGGTTGTTTGAGACAGATATTAAACCGGGAGAGGGCAGACTTTCAATACCACAAAGGCAAATGAATAATGAGTTTCTTAAACAAGAAGAAGATGCATATTTGAATACTCGGAATGGGAATAATGTGTCTGAGAAGAAAGTGAAGTTGATTGAGCCTTGTCTTGAAACATGTGATATTAATCTGAAAAAGTGGAATATGAACAAAAGTAATGGGAAAGCAAGTTCAAGTTATGTGTTGACTACGTATTGGAATGCTTGTCACCAAAAGGAATGCTTTGAAAATTGCTACTTTGGTGCAATTATGGGCATTCAGAAAGGGATCAGAATTATGTTTTGCACTGGTCAAACTTCAAGACCAGTTAAGGTAGTAGTTTTTCCAGTAGTTAGTATTAGCATTTTTTTTTATTCATTATTTTTCTAATTTGTAGTAATATATTGACATGTTTAATGTTTATCTATTTGAAGGAATTCTTTATCTCTGTTTTATTCTTCTTTTGATCCTGTTTCTAATGTATGAGACGGCTCCTACTTTTCTCAATACGGACGTTTCTAGGAGTACATATTCCGAGTTTTTAGGCACAATATTCCCATGTGATATCTGATGAAAAGTTTCAATTTATTTCAATTTGAGAAACATTATATGTCACTCGATTTTTAATATTTTACATTACTTGATGAGGAATAATTATGGTTCAATTTGTAAGACGTTTTTTTGTGTGTGTTTGTTTGAAAGATGTTTCAATCTAAATATTTGTGTTTTCTTTTAATCAATTCCTCGGAGATAAGTGATAACTGGAAATTCTTTACTGTTCCATAAAAGCACATCTTTTGGTAACAGCAACATGATTAATTTTTGAGTCTAAAATGGAAACTTGTCTGGGTTTGTGTTCGAGTTGGATGCTGGACTTATTAGCTCCATGCGATTTATCTTCTTGTCTCTTATTGGCGTTAAAGTTCTCTTCGTGTGGCATATAGTCACGGGTTTAAACCGTAAAACCAACCACTAATACTTATATCACACTCTTAGGGGTGTGACCCTTCCCCAGATCATATTGAATGCGGGGTGCGTTGTGTGTGCATCAGGCTACCCTTTTTTTAGTGTTTTTTCTGATTTCCCATTAGGCGTTCGGTATTCGCATTAGGGCCCGACTCCGAATTTGCGTGAAGAAGTCCCACATGTGAATAAATCGCTCCCTAACAAAGATGATTCCAAATCCAAGATTCAGAATTCGAAACCTCTAGTTAAGGATGAACTCAGTGGTGGGCGGATCTACTCTATGAGTTATGGGTGCTTGAGCACCCATTACTTTTAGAGCCAAACATTATTACTTGTATAAAAAATTAGTAAATTCATATAAATATATTAACCGAGCACCCATTCTTAGTAGCAATTTTCAGATTAAATATAGTTGAGCACCCACGGTTTGAAAATTCTGGATTCGCCATCCGATGAACTAGTACTTACCACTCCACTGCAAACAAGGCTCATGGCTCATGTAAATTGTTTGTTTGTAGCAATAAAATGGTTGGCCTCGTCTTAGGTGGTTCTGTACTGAACATTAATACTTACACTTTGCTGGGCTAACAGGTCTGCATATATCCATCAATCTTATTCGTGATTAATTGATGAATATTGGCGAGATTCTTATATAACATAAGATAGTGTTTGCACTTTTGCTGGATGATGCATATGCATAGTGTTTGTTTAAAGTTACTCCAGCTCTACTTTTCTAACATAGTAAATTACGCTGATTGCTTGAACGTAATATTTTTTTCATTCCTCAAATTTCTTTTTATGCTCGACCCTATTGTACAAGAGTAGTGATTGATACGAGCTGAGCTAAGTAACAGAAAATGAGAAGAAATGCAAGAAAAGCAATGGAACAGTAAATGAAAGAAGGAGAAAAGAAGAAAAAAAACAGGAAAGAAATCTAGATTAGAGCAACAAGAATGAGGGTTTTGTATATTGATTGATAAAGAAAGAGAAGATCATTACAATATATTGTATTGCAACCCTAAATGCCTTAGCTGGCACTGTACCATCGTTGCCCAGTATTAGCAACAGAGCTGGACCTAATATGTTTTGATAACCCAAATGAGCGGGGTCAATGTGTAATTACTATAACTATAACTTAAAAGTAAAAAGGACTAAACTGCCTATCGTGCAAATGTCCCCTAACCTCCTTCCCAACTGATTATGATGGCTACGTACACCTGCGCAAGCACAAGGCACCACAGCCTGAAGCTCATCTCCGTTGAATTCGTATCAGATCCCCCTCGTTAAAATCTTCCTTGTCCTCAAGGAATAAATGTAGGAAACCTGATTTTGAGAGATTGGTTATCCTATTGAACCAATACTTGCAACAGCCTTGTTTCCCTTTTGGATCATCCTTCTATCGAGAATTTGCTGAGGTTGAGGGCAATATGAACTGGATATATCGATTATTGGTGGGTGTGAAATGGTGTCAGGTAGCTTATAACATGGCTTAAGTTGAGATACATGGAATGTGTGATGAAGTAGGAGCTGAGAAGGCATGGATAGCTTATATGCAACATTACCAACCTTTTGCAAGATTTGGTATGGACCATAGTATTTTGCTGAGAGTTTGGAGAAGTGAGTTCCTGAAAGTGTCACATGCTTATAAGGCTGTTTTTTGAGGTAAACATAGTCCCCTTCTTTAAATTGCCTATCACTTCTATGTTTATTAGCTTGGTCAGTCATTCTCTGTTGTGCTCTTTGTAAGTGATATTGCAACAACTGATATTTGAATTCTCTTGTCAACAAACTTCTGTCCACCTCTTTCATAGCTAAATCACCTGCCATATGTGGTAAGTGAAGTGGTGGAGGTTGGCCATAAAGAGCCTCATAAGGGGGTGGTCTGAATTGAGAAGTGATAAGTAATGTTATACCACCACTGAGCTGCTAAATAAGAGGACCGGTCCTTTTGAGAGTCAGAGCAAAAACACCTAAGATAGGTCTCCAAGCACCTGTTAACAACTTCTGTCTGTCCATCAGACTGTGGGTGGTAGGCTGAGAGTGACACCACTCATAGATAACAACTCCTGCCATAGTCTACTAGTGAAGACATGATCCCTATCACTCACTATATCCTCGCATGCCATGTAGTCTGAACACATGTTCCATAAATAACTGTGCAATGTCAGTGGTAGTATAAGGATGGGCCATTCCTATGAAGTGAGCATATTTGGTTAATCTATCTACCACCATCCATATCATTGTCTTCCCTTTAGTTTTAGGCAACCCTTCAATAAAATCCATGCTAATATTGCTCCAAGCCAATGAGGGAATCTTGAGTGGTTGTAGTAGTCCAGGATAAGGTATTGTCTCATACTTGTTCCTCTAGCACGTGTCACATTCCTTGACATATATGTCTGAACATCTTCCTTCATTCCTCTCCAATAGAAGAGTGCAACTATTCTTCTGTAAGTATGATTTATGCCTGATGGCCTCCAGTAAGGGAATCATGCCATAGTTTCATGATATCCTTTCTCGGTTGCTCATCAGGTCCTATCACTAACTTCCCATTTCTTCTTAACTGATTGTGCACAAAGGTGTACCCTTTTGATTCTCCCCCGTCTTTCTTAAGACTCTCAATAAAGGCCACAAGCTCATCATCTAACTCCAAGTTCTCATTATCTGACTTAACAAATCAATCTTGATGGTAGAGAGTGTTAAGGCTGCTAACTCTACCAATGGCAATCTAGATAAGGCATCTGCCACTTTATTCTCCTTCCCCTTTTTGTACTCAATAACAAATTCATATTGCATAAGCTTAGTTATCCATTTCAGCTGGGATCCTGTGTGCAGTTTCTGTTCAAGATGAAATTTCAATGCATTTTGTTCTGTCTTCACTGTAAAGGGCCTTCCTGTTAAGTATTGTGACCATTTGTTCACTGCCATGACTAAGGCTAATAGCTCATTGTCATATACTGATAAGGTCTGATACTGTGGAGTTATAGGTTGACCCTTCTGCATCAGTACAACCCCTATTCCCATGCTGTAAGCATCTGTCTCCACAACAAATGGTATAGAGAAATCAGGCAGGGTTAGAATTGGTGCAGAAGTTAAAGCCTTCTTCAAGTTGCTGAAGTCTCTAGTAGCCTTGGGAGACCATTTAAAATTGTCCTTCCTCAATAGATCAGTAAGAGGCTTGCTAAGAACTCCATACCCCTTGATGAACCTTCTTTAGTAACCCGCTAGCCCCAGAAATCCCCTTAGCTGCTTGAGATTAGTTGGTTCTGGCCACATCTGGACAACTTCTATCTTCTTGTCAGTAGCTACTCCTTCTGCTGAGATATAGTGTCCTAGGTATTCAACTCTTGTTGCTGCAAATACACACTTGCTTCCCTTAGCAAATAGTTAAGGTTGTATCAATAGCTCAAATGTGGTTATGAGATGTTGCACATGCTCCTGCAGATCCTTGCTGAATACTAGGATGTCATAAAAAAACACCAATATGAACTTCATGAGGTGTGCTTGGAAGATATGGTTCATCAAACTTTAGAAACTGGAGGGTGAATTAGTGAGGCCAAAGGGCATTACCAAGTATTCATAATGCCCAAAATGAGTCTTAAAAGCTGTTTTCTGGATATCTGAGGGTGCCATCCTGATTTGATGATATCCTGCTCTTAAATCTATCTTGGAGTAGATTCTTGACCCCCCCTAACTCATCCAATAACTCCTCAATAATTGGTATAGAAAACTTGTCTTTTAGAGTGAGCTTCTTCAAGGCTCTGTAGTCCACACATAGTCTCCAAGAACCATCCTTCTTCCCTACCAAAACTACAGGAGAGGCATAAGATCTTGCACTATACTAAATTATGCCTTGTTGCAACATCTCTGACACCATCTTCCCTATCACATCTTTCTGGAGGGAAGAGTATCTATAGGGCCTTGAGTTCACAGGAAGACTGTCATCCTTTAATGGAATATGATGGTCAAACGCTCCCCTTGAATGTGGTAGCTACCTTGGTTCCTGAATAGCTCATGATATTCTTCCAGTACTGCTTGCACTTCAGCTGGTCTTTCCTCCAAACTATTGTCTTGTTTCTCTTTAATAGGTGATGCTGGGCACACCTTGATCATAAAAATCTGGGCATCATTAGCAGTAATGTTGTTGAAAGCCTTTGCATCTATAATTTTGAAGGAAGTCTGGATGCCTTGTAAAGCAACTTCCTTGCCTTGATACACAAACCTTATACACAGCTTCTCAAAATTGATTTGAATGTCCCCCAACTTGCTCAACCACTGAATTCCCAATACCACATCACATCTTCCTATGGGAAGCCCCAGAAAATCATCTTGAAACATGACACCCCGAATCAACCATTTGAATCCCTGGCTTCCTTTCTCTGATTGGATAGCCCTTCCATCAACTACTGATACATCTTGAGGATTCATCTGATAAACCTTGCATCCAATCCTCTGAGCTGCCTTTTCATTAATGAAGTTATGTATAGATCCACTATCAATGAGGATATTAATTGGTTTGTGCTCAGGAACCCTTGGACCTTTAAGGTTTTATATCTTTTGGAACCATGCAAGGCTTCTAAAGAGTAGATAAGGTAAGCTTTCTATAGCCTCTTCTTCTTGCCCTTGATATGTGGTGCCCTCTTCAAGTTCTACTTCTTCAGTGATAACTGCATCTGTCTCTTCAATTTCCAAAGAGTAGATATGCCTTTTTGCCTTGCATTTATGCCCTGACACAAAATTTTCATCACATAAGAAACACATTCCCTGAGCTCTTTTCTCCTCCATCTCAGCTAGAGTGAGTCTCCTTCTCCTATTATTATCAAAGCTGGCAGTGACTGGTCCTTTGCTTCGTGCCATGATTCCCTTAGAAGGTCCACTAAATCCTGATCCTGAAGCTACCTTAAAGGTAGAGTGTGCTGTAGTTTGCCCTTTGATGGCCTTACTCTGAGTAGCAAAACTTGCCTCTTGTAGCCTGGCCAGGTAATAAGCTTGAGGCAAGCTGTAGAGATTCCGTATTCTAACAGCATCCCTAAGCTCAGGTTTTATGTTATTCAAGAAGATGCTAGCTAGGTTGATCCTGGTGATAACACTAACAAAATCTCTCTGATCATGAGCTCAGTCATAGGATCAGAATACTCAGCCCCAAAGCTGTCACAAAGTGCCCACAAGTAGTCTTCCCAAGTAGGGAGAGGCAGTTGTCTCCCACTCCTCATGTAGCCTAAGTGCCATTGTAAGGCATCCCCTTCAAAATGCATAGATACTAACTTCATTCTTTGCTGAATTGTAACATCCTCATCAGCAAAAAACTGATCTACCTTATACAACCAAGTCCTCAAGTCCTCACCATTGAACTTAGAAAATTTTACCTTGTGATATTTAGCAAAAGGTAAGGCAATAGTGGGAGTGTAAGGAGGATTATGTGGTTGTCCATTTGTGGGAGTGGGCTGATAAGGGTGTGGTGTAGGAAGGTAAGATACCTGGTGGTACAGAGGAGGGGATATGTGAGTGGTTTGGGTACAGTAGGCAGGTGGAAACTGAGTGTGTTGGGCATACTGGTTATATGATAGGGGTTTAGCCATATGTGATCCTTGGGTCTAAAATGGAGCTTGTGGATAGCTCATGCTTAAGCTATTTTGGTTATAAGGAGGCTAAAGTGGCATCATGGTTGTTCTAGGAAGTGAAGGAGGGTGTGGCTGAGAAATGTGTGTTTGAAAAAGAGCAGGTTATATAGGGGCTGTTCGTGCAGGGAAATTGTATGGAGAAGAGCTAGGGTTTGAGGGTATTAGTGAAGCTTGTGCCATAGGAACAGAAGTAGCTCTAATTGGAGCAACAGAGATAGGGTTACTGCTAGTGTTAGAAATAACCACAGCAGGGCTATTAACTCTTTGCGAGCTAGGTGAATTCAAATCTCTAAAATCAAAAGGCTTGTCATTAGGAGAGTAAAGCTCACCTCCACTGTAGGCCGCTGATTTGTCTCTCTCATGCCTCTTTCCATCGTGTATAACTTCATTAAGTACCTCCCTTATCTCACACAAAGTTTCTTCTTGATTTCTACAGGTTTGCTCTTGAGCAACCTCCAGTTGTTCCTGTCTAGCTGCAAAAGTCGATACTTCTGTGGATATCTTCTTGAGTGTCTCCATAACCTCGTCCATATTGATATTCATTGTACCCACAGAGCCAAGTTTTGCTCTGATACCACTGATACGAGATGAGCTAAGTAGCAGAAAATGAGAAGAAATGCGAGAAAAGCAATGGAACAGTAAATGAAAGAAGAGAAAGGAAGAAAAAAATAGGAAAGAAAGCTAGATTAGAGCAACAAAAATAAGGGTTTTGAATATTGACTGATAAAGAAAGAGAAGACCATTACAATATATAGTATTGCAATCCTAAATGCCTTAGATGGCACTGTACTATCATTGCCCAGTATTAGCAACAGAGCTGGACCTAATATGTTTTGATAACCCAAATGTGTGGGATCAATATGTAATTACTATAACTATAACTTAAAATAAAAGGGACTAAACTGCATATCGTGCAAGCTTCCCCTAACCTCCTTCCCAACTGATTATAACGGCTACGTCCACCTGCGCAAGCACAAGGTACCACATCTTGAAGCTCATCCCCATTGAATTCGTATCAGTGACACACTCAGGCCTATCAACAACAAATTTAATGAATAGCTAGGAAAATGAAAATTTTATATACAGTCATATCTCTCTATAATAACATCCCTATATAACAGTCATTAACTACAAAAGTCAAGTTTTTCTCAAAATCAACCTTTTAAGTTATATTTTACCTCTTTATAATAACTTTTTACCTATAATAACAACAACCATATTTATAGCAAAACGCTATTTGTAAAATTACCCCTCTATAACAACCATATAGAATATTTAAGATTACTATAATAATTGTAAAATGCACACAATCTTTTCTATTAAACAAAGTTCCTATCTTGCATAAAGTATAAGATTTGAAGATTTGCACATAATATCTTTTCCATTGGACAAATTCCAAAAAATATCCAGATAGAATATTTAACTGATTAGCTTTTAGATTGTCTTCAAGGAAAAAACTATTGGATATCTTTTTGCTGAAAATTTGGACACGAACCTTCTCTAATTCAAGCGTTATAACGCAAATAAGAGAATGAAATCTACGAAACAAGCTACAATTATAAAGTCCTTCCATCAATCTTGAAAGAATTTATTTTTTTAGGTAGCTTTAAAATGTCAGTAGTTTAAATTTTTATATGTTTAGTTATGAATTTATTAATAATGTATTAGCTTTCTTCAATATTTAACTAGTGAAATATGCATATTTTTTTAAATTTTAAATTTGAATAATTTTCTTATCTTTTATATGTAACATTAAAAAAGGAAAAATAATTGATTTTTGGATAATTTTTAGCTATAACAACCAAAAAATATTTAAACGTCTAATGCTGTTATAGATGTATAACAGCCATTCACTTTAAAAGTAAAAAAATAACGAAAGAAACAAGGCTGTTATAGAGAAATTTGACTATACATAATAGCATCCCTTGACTTATTAAGAGTAAATTTATTTTTCTAGCAAATTAGTATAGAAGCTCTATTTTATTGTTCCTTTCAGTAAGTCTTCGTCCCCTGGTACACGGTTAGTCCACTCTTTCAACGTACCCAAATAAACATTACGTGTGATTTCGTCAAACTCGGAATTAAAACTGATGGTGCAATCTTGTATGCAGAACGTACAACATATCTATTGCAATTTACCAAATAATCTCTCTTTATTCACTTTTCTAATACTCCCCGAAAGGCCGAAACACTCAAATTTACACTTTGCCTAAAAAATCAGTTAAAAACCCAAACTACAAAATCCTCCATTTCAGTTCAGATTTCTGCGGAAAAACCAATACCCATCTCGAGAAAATCTTGCAAAAAAAGATGGCTTCGGCAATGAGAATTGTTTTCGGGCTTCTTACACTTGTCACATGTGGAATGATTCTCGGTAAAACATTTCTTCTATCTTTTTTATCTACCCAATTTTTGTTATATGTATGTATCTGTTGAATTTGTGGCTGTTTTTGTAATTCTTGAATTTTCTCCTCCTGCATTTGCGGTTTTGATCATCATAATTATCCTCACTGGTGTTTTTAGGTTTGGTTGGCATTTAATTTGGACTAACCAAACACCCTATTTGGAAATAGAAGAAGAAAAAGGAAAAAAAATGGTGATCTTTATGTATATATTTTATTTGGAAATGGACATTCTAAAAAATTGAACTTTTGGGGTTGGAGTGGAGTGGGTGCTTGGTTTTGATCCTTGATTGTGATATCACCTATGTTGCTCAAATTTTTCAAAATTGACGGTGAGTGCATGTTGGATCCTCAAATGTAGCTATTTTATGAGGATCCGACAAGGGTGTGGCAACTATTTTGGAGAGTCTGAGCAAAAAACGAAAAAATTATAATGATCATTTTTTTTGAAATTAAGACTTTACAGTAGATTGATCTGGTTTGATGGTGAGATAATTGGATTCTTTACTACAGTGTTGATTAATGAGGTGGGTCGGTTTTATACTTGATCGTCATGCTTTTCATGATCTCGAGGCTTATGGAAAAAGAGAAAAAAGAAAATGGTCAACATTTGTTTAATAGTAGATTTTAATGTGAACTGTTTGTGCAAGTGTGGTGGGACGGTTGAGTTCTTTATCACATTGTTGATTGCTGAGTTTGGTTGAGGATATATTATGAGGATGTTATTGAATGAACTCACTTCACTTATGTTTGGATCATTGTTACCAATCGTTTTATAATGTATTGTATTGTATTGTACTGTACCGTATTGTATCGTTTTGATGGATACAACATTTGGATAGATTGTATCGTTTGCTGTTGTTAAATAACATTTTTATTATTTGGTTTAACTGTATTGTATTGTACTGTACTATACTGCTATATTTACTAAAATACCCTCAATTATTTTAAATACGATGCTTATTAAGAACTACTCATAAAAATAATTTATTTATTTGATCTCCCCATCTTCCTCACAGGTAATCATCATTCTACCATAGTAACGAAAACACCAAACTGATTTCATACAAAAAAAAAATTATAGCCCCATCAAAACAGAGAACAACGGACCTCTGTTCCTGTAGTTTGGTATGGCAGAAGCCTAAGTAAATTATATATGTAATTAAAATTAGCAAAAAGTTAGCAAAGATCATAGATAAGATAAAAAATACAGAAAAAAAGAGAGGGAAAACTAACCAAAAAAATAAACGGCAGAAGGATGGAGACAAAGTACGTAGTTGGGTGAAGTATAATATAAATAATAGTATAAAGGGTAAAATTGAAATATAGAATAATTAGTGTGGGCGTAATTGGAAAGAGAAATACGGAACAGTCCCACCATACCGATTTGGTTGTTTCATAAAATGGGGCTTTTCATTGTTCCGGAACAATGAATTTAACAATATGATACAATCAGTTTTCTGTGAACAATCAAAACAAACATTGTATTTGAGATAACAATACAATACAATACGACGGGTTACAACCATCCAATCAATACGTTAAGCTAGGAAAATCAGTAGTTGTTCTCTAAAGCAAAAAAAGAAAAAAAAAAGAAAAAGAAAAGAAAGGTTACGTTCTTATTTTACAAAACTATGAATTTACAGAATTTTTATTGGGTTTTTTTTTTGTGTGTGTGTGTGTGGGGGGGGGGGGGGGTTAGTCTTGATTAGCTTTGTTGCGTTGATTTGGTTCAGGTTATGGCATAATCGGGATAAGGCAATTAGTATTATTTCCCTTGTGAAGCTAAAATGTCTTGCAGTTAGTTCAGGGGGTTCTTTTAAGCTTTGATCATCTAAAGTGAAAGTTTCATAATTACACTAAATTAATTCTCTAATATAATCACCAGCACTTGTTGTGTTTATGAACACCAATCGGGTGATATAATGTTCTTACTAAATAGGGTGAAGTAATGCAAACTAAGAGGGTGTTTGGATTGGCTTTTAAGCTGGTCAAATCAGCTTTTAAGCTCTTTTTAGCTTTTTTCAGTGTTTGGCAAAGTCAAAAAGTGCTTAAAATAAGTTAAAAACTGTTTAAAACAAGCCAAAAGCAATAAGTTGGGCAACCCCAACTTATTGCTTTTTGGCTTAAAAGCTATTTCTGCTGAAAAGCCACTTTTTTTAAGCCAATCCAAACGGGCTCTAAACCGGTGCTTTTGTGAGATGAATATCATCACTATCTTGTCTAGTACTATTTAGAGATACTTCCGGAGCTTACATGATGATCATAATTTCATTCTTTTCTTTCATGGATTAATGACTCAGCATAACAAACTTTTCTATCATTAATCATTAATTTGATACGGAAAATGAGAGTCCTAGACAAAAAAATAAGCGCAATAGAGAAAATTAAAAAGGAAGTACTTTAAGAAACTTATAGACATGAACCGTGAGATATTGGATAGTTTTTGGAAAAGATAACTGCTGTTTTCTTTTGTTTCGTTTTTCGGGTGGACGGACAACATTGTCTCTGATTTGCTGTTCCTCTTAAAATGCTGGAAGAAGTAAAAGTTGTCTTTCTAGATCAGATGACTTTATATTAAAAGACCTAGTGGGACACATCTTCCACAGAAGCATCCGAAGTGTTTACTATAAGATCCTGATCCTTGACCATACCGTCGTAGTCTTATCCTTCAAAAGAATTTGTGGTTTTGCTTAAACTTTGATTTTCTCTGTTTTCCGTCTTGTATTCTTATCAAAGAATACATGTTTTGACGTGGGTTCGAGCCTTGCTGCAGACAAAAGCCTAGTATTTAAGTGGAGAAGGGTAGAGGGGCAGGTCCATTATCCACCGAGTTCCAAACCGTATGCCACTAGCCCGCGGGGATTTCTTGGTTATAAAAAAAATAGAATACATATTTTGAATTTTACTGATATGGACTTTTGGTTTTCCTGGTTGGATTTGTTGCTGAATGGAAATGATTAGTTTCTGTTGTGTGATGTGCAGGAGCTTTGATTCAACTAGCATTTATTCATAGGATGGAGGACTCACTTGGTAACTTTTCTTGGTTTATAGTAGATATTTCAAAATGATTGTTTTTTCTTTTATCTTATTTGGAGGGCTTAATACTTGCTCTATCATTCTTCTCATTTGTAGTTGCTGTGGTATCAAATAATCAAACCAGTACTCCATGTTCCACTGCACGCAATACCAAATACTAGTAATTATTATCAATGATCTTATTATATAAGGGTCACTATTGGCGGATCCTTTAACTAACTATTTGAACATTTTTGGCCGTTCAGCTTAGTGAAAGCACACAATACTCGCTCTAATTATTTCTTTCTTTTGTAGTTGTGGTTTCTACTTTTCAATCAGATTCCAGTGGGTGCAATATAAAAGAATGTCTACTTAAGGTTCACTTTTGAGGGATTTAGTTCATATAGTAGCTATTTGGAAAATTTTGACATGCCATTTTGTGGTTAAGCGTGGTAAAATTAGGGAAGACTTTTATGAATTTGAGAGAAAACAAGTACTTTGTTGTTAATAGAATGAGGAAAAATTGGTTTGATGATTCACATGTTATATAAGATTTTTTTTCGCTTTCATTTTTTCCTTGTAATAAATTCCTTAAAATCATGAACCAAGGTGGTGTCAGAAGCATTTACAATAAGTATATGACAGACATATTCTCCTCTTTCTACTGGTCCTACCCAATTATCCATGCACAAAGGTTTTCTCCCTCACTTGCTGTTCTATGCTACCAATTAATCTTCTGTTCCTCTAATTCCATATTGTGTAAAGGACGCGCAGTGGTGCTAAGTTTATAACTGCTCTCCTTCCCTTCTAATTTTTGATGCCCTCCTCTAGCACCCTACAACCTCACCGAGTGTTCTTGATAGCAACCCAACTAGTATTAAATGCTTGAGGAGACGAGATCCACTGTTGGATAGCCAACATGCAATGCAACAAGAGAGGGTTATTGACTTATTGTCCTCTCAGCACTCTTGCACAGATACCAACTTACCGTAGTTCTTTCCCCTCCTTATATTATCAGCAATGAAGTTCTGCTTCATGCCACACCTCCTTAAATTATTGGGTGTATGAGTTGCGTTTCATGACACACACCATGTGTGAATGTAACCATTTTGGTGCCTTCACACTCCATATTGCCTTCTACTCTTCAGTGTTACTTCCCCAACTTTTTCCGGTGAAAATCCTTGTAGCCTACCCTCATCAAACCTTCCTATTGCCCTTCCCCTCTATTTTTACTATAAACTTTGAGAACGGATTCCTGGGCCTTCTTCCACTTCCAATCTTGGATAACCTTTCTGAATCTTATGTCCCATGAAATTTTCTTGCCCTGATTAACCAATGTTGTGCATCTCTCATACACCATAGCATGCAACAACAACAAAAAATTCAAGTGAAATCCCACAAGTGGGGTCTGGGGAGGGTAGTGTGTACGCAGACCTTACCCCTACCCTGGGAGGGTAGAGACTTCGGCTCAAGAAAGACGGAAAGAGACGGTAGAAACAAGCAATATCATCAACAAGGGCCAGAAAGAAAGTAAAGCAAACTAAGAGCCAGAAAATAGACGGAAAGAAGCAGTAGCTCAACAAGATACTAAGAAACCGATGTGGAAGGTAATAGGAAGACAACATGTAAAATTAGCAATCTAAGAACAAGAAAACAACCAAACTAGCCCTAATAGTGGACACATGTTTTTTCCATTTCAATAAAAAGAAAAAAAATTAGAAACACTACCAGACTAGCCCTAATACCACTGGTATGGATCATAAATACGCTCGACTACCTACTAACCTTCTACCTGAGTTCTCGACCTCCACACCCTTCTATCAAGAGCGATGTCCTCGGTAAGCTGAAGCCACGTCATGTCCTGCCTAATCACCTCTCCCCAATACTTCCTTGGTCTCCCTCTACCTCTTCTCATACCCACCAAAGCCAACCACTCACACCTCTTTACTGGGGCATCTGAGCTTATCCTCTTCACATGCCCGGACCATCTAAGCCTCACTTCCCGCATCTTGTCCTCCACGGGGGTGTACCCGTATATCTATACACCATAGCATTCATTTGTTGAAATCAAACGTCTCCCCATGCTATACGCCTCCCAAAATGTGCTCTATTGCCTCTGGTTGATGTAATCGACAAACCTTGTGAACTCATTCCTTCTTCATGTTCCCATTCCATAAACCTTCTAAACTCACGAAAATGCTTTCTTTTGGTTTTATAAGTATCAAATTCACCAGATTCAAGGAAACAACCATCCTTTTTTACCTTGGATCAGAAACGGGGGTAGTTGTCTTCTTGCATCGTTATTGATTTGCTTGTCAACGTACACTAAGCAGGAATGATGTTACTTTCTTTGGCTTATTCTACTTCTATTCAAGCTTCTAATGTTATGTTTATCTTTGAAAGTACTTTATCAAAAACAATAGCTTTCAACACATTAAGATCTTTGAGTCTAAGTACTTCATATTCTGCTTCAATCCAGCTGTTAATTGTGATCACTGCTTGGGATGTTGTTAGTATTCCATTGAAACTTTCCTCTTTACCTAATGGAATTTTGTGTAAGTGACTTCCTGCTCCGGGCTGCCCTTTTTGACTTCCTGCAGACAGAGAATCGTCTTTTGGCGGAAAGCATGCAAGTCTAGCTGGCAACAAACATCTGTTAGCAAGAGGTTTGTGTTGTTCTTTGACTGTTTTTAGCTCTGCAATATACTTTATGTTGTTTAGCATGAGTTGGGCGCTTCGTTCGCGTAGGCGTTGCTTCAGACTAGGCACTGAGAATCTACGGCATACTTCCCACTGTTTTTTTCTTGAAGAGCGTGGTACTAAACAATAAGTATTGTTGGCAAAATGATCTAATTAGGAAAATATTATGAGTAAATGTGTTTAAATATTAGAATAGGAACTTTCCGATTTAATATAAGAAAAGTAGTTACTAAACTTAAATTAGAAACTTAAAACTGCATTGTTGCATCTGAATCAAAAATTTAAAATTATTTTTGAACTTGATTTACACTATTTACTTCTTACATTTCAAATATTTTCTTTTCAATTCCTTTATCGATTTTTTTGAGTTAAAAATTCTGTGCGTGTGTGTTTATGTTAGGATATATGTATTTTCATTTGCCTTTTCACTAAAAGCTCGCACTTAATTGCACTTTGGGTTAATGCTCCCACAAGCTCAACTTTTTTTGCACCGCCTTTGGCAACATTGCGTTTAGATTTTACATTTGACCATGACCTAAGTTTTTGTCTCACAAACTCATTACATGCCTACATTGAGTTCTTTATGATGCTGATCTTGCATGCAACTGCTGTGTTCCAGAAGAAAAAGGAAAACAGTTGTCCTTCATTCCACCTGTAACTAAATGCCACTTCTACTTTGATACGAAAGTCTTCAGAAGACTTTGCACTAACTTATCCTTGATCGGACGATTCCCCTCAAAAGAGATGGCATGACATAATAGTAATCAGGTCAAACATGAGTTAGTTTCTGGATGTCTACATGATCTTCTTTTATATTGTGTCTGGAGACGTAATAATAGCCTAAGCAGTAGTATAGTGTTGGTTGGCTTGGGTCGCTTAAGGAGTATGCTGGACTGTTGATTACTTGGGCATTAGCAGTAACCAATTGGTAACTTCCAGGAAATCATCTTGGTTTCATTACTTTAGTGATGGTTGGGTCATGTAAGGAGTATGTTGGACTGTTGATTGTCTTAGGCAGTAATACTAACCAATTGGTAATTCGAGGGAGACTAAGCATCTTAATTTCTTTATTTTCTTTAATATCTGAACAACTATCATTACAGCAAAATCTTTTTGTCCACTTTCCCTCTGAGATTTAGCATGAGCACATGGTGTACTTCCCTGATATCCTGACTTTTCTGCCCTTTTTTCTCAGGAATCTCTCATTGGGGTTATGACAAAGAAGCTGTAGCACTACGTATAGGATATGTAAGTCCAAAGTTATGTTCCATTTTGAAAAATTAACTTAAATAGCCCCTACCCATGTGCCTAAACTTAAAATAGCCGATGGATGTATAATATATGTATAATTCATGTATAATATGTGTATAATCATGTATAATCATTGTATAATCTTTGTGTGCTGGCTAGAAAAAGTAAATAGTGAATTCAACCGGCTATTTGTGTAAAGATCCCTTTCATTTTTTAGAAAAACCTCTCTTTCTCAACTCCAGGCCATCCACTGTTTGCTTTATAGTAGAAGGTACTGGTAAATTCGGCTGGTAGACATGTCTTTCCTACCAGTGCGGTTTCCACATTCAAGAAAAGTCTTTCTACTGTATATATAGCAAGAAGAAGAACTACAGTGCTACTTGTTGAGATAGCTCATAGATGTGAAGTTGAAATCTTAGACTGTAGATATCAATTAGTTGAAAGATCCGAACTTTATAGATGTATGTGGTGAAACTAATACTGTGCTGTATTATATCTTAATTTTCAAGGGTAAACCATATTTCTCTATGCTTCCGGTCTTCCTAGTATCCATGCTAGTCTAGCAGGTTCTTATTTTGGCACTGGAGAGGAGTTTTGTGTATGTAAATGTACAAGTAGTAGATCTTATGGTGGAATGTTGATCAGATAAGGTCTTAGGGAAATGGAAAAAGTGTAGTTTTCTGATCTCCAACAATACCTGTTATCGGAAACAACCAACCCATTTTCTCATGGAACTGATCTCTTGTTCTATCTTATGTTCTGACAAATAAAGCCTACTTGGTTCAGAAGTGCCAGACGGGGACCCGCTAGAATCACTTCTGGGCAAAAAGTCATGTTCATTTATATCCCCCCCCCCCCCTACCCCCCACAAAGCCCCCCTTTTTTTGAGCATTTGAATGGTATTCGCTGAAATAAATAAATAAATAGGGAATCTCTTTTGTTATTCTTGTAGACTTACATAAAAGAAGTCAATTTTTCTTCAGTTGAGAACTAGGAGAGCACGCCTTAACCAAAATCCATGCATTTCTGGACTATGTTATCCTGTAACTTAAACTGAGCAGCTGCATGAATGCCAAACTGCTAGCTTCTGCTTTGCTATTTTAATTATGTCAATTTCTCATACTGCTCGTGCAGGTGAAGCCTGAAATTATTAGCTGGAAACCAAGAATTATATTATTTCACAACTTCTTAAGTGCAGAGGTATGCCGGTTTTATATTTTTCACCTTCATTTCTACCATTGCATATCTCTGTCTGTTAATTTGGCCTCTTTGTGTAATACGGCTACTATATCTGTGATGAGATTGAAGTTTTGGTTGGTAATATATTGGATTGTAAAATGTTTAACGGTTCTTCTGTGGTCTCTGCTCCAATTTTACCATGAAATGTACATACATACATATTGTGTATGTGTATATATACATATATGTACATACGAACCAGGAGGTCACGGGTTCGAGCTGTGAGAATAGCCTCTTGCAGAATGTAGGGTAAGGCTGCGACAATAGACCCTTGTGGTCCGGAACTTTCCCGGACCCCGCGCGTAGCGGGAGCTTAGTGCACCAGGCTGCCCTTATAAAGAGAGAGAGGGAGAGAGAGAACTGCTACCAACTTTCCCGCTTTCAAAAAGAGAACTGCTACCAACTTATCTTTTTAAGGAAATTGGTGTTCAAGCTAATATTTGCTTGAGGTTTGATCCCCTATTTACTAAATACTGTCAAAGCCATTAATACCTAAAAAGTGAATTTTTTTAGTCAATTTAGGGTTAATGTAATGAGTGACAAATTTCGTTATGCTTAAATTGCCTCTTGCGCATGGTTTTCTTCCTTCTACAGTGTCAAGTTTCATGCTCGAATGCGAAATAAAAGAAAAAATGTGTAAAAAGTTAATTAGAGTGCTTAATACGAATTTGAATGGATGCCAGGGAGGGTGTTTGAAGACTGGAAGAGAATAATAAAATCTTAAATCTTGATATTTTGGACATGATCAAATTTACAGATGGTATTAGTAAATCTTTTGCAAAATCGTGTTAGATCTGTTAATTTTAAAAGCATCATGGGTTCGTGATGATAATTTGGGAATTTAATATTCTATTGCGTTCACAGGAATGTGATTATCTTAGATCGGTTGCCATGCCCCGTCTTCATGTTTCAACTGTTGTTGATGCAAAAACTGGAAAGGTATGCACACTATGCAAACGATTCTCTGACATTCGGCATCTACTATGATTTTTCTTCTGATGAGTTCAAATTTTTTCCACACCCTGTTGTGCTCATCTATTGTTGAAATGTGCTTGTGAGTTACCACTAGTTTTTAATAGCAAATTAGTTTTGCCTATGCAAGTACTTCTGGTTAAAGTTCAAGTTAGAGCTTCTGCTTTGAAGTTTGCCTCTAGAAGAGCAATGACTTTCAAATGCCACCTCACCTTTTAGTTCATCTGACAGTTCTACTCATTTTCTTCATTTGACATGGAGAGATCAGATATAAAACAGCCTGGAGGTTACAGAGGGCTGTTTCTCATACATTAATCTCATACCAACGAGGACATTATTTCTAGCTAAGCCTCACATTTTAATTTCCAGCTTAATTAAGTTAGTCTTTCTACTGGGAAAGTTGATATATGTGCTAAAATATATGCAAATTTTATCAATCCTGTATGCTTGAGAGGTTTTTGTATAAGTCTGGGTATGCATTATTCTTTCATTAAGAAAATAGCGCAGTCTTACATAGATTTAGGCCTCATTTGCTTGCACTTAATGGAGGTCTGAATCTAAATCATTCATATCTCAGTCATTGAGTCTGTTTACAACCATCAACACCATCACTATATATCACTCATCACTGTTATCAGTCACCACCACCATCAACCACCACCGTTAATTACTACTGTCATCCACCATCTACTTCCCATAATACCCACTAACCAACATTACCACTAGCCACTACCCAGTGAGCACTCACAACCACTGTTATTAGCCTTCATCACCACCAACCGCCGTAAAATTTTTATTTTTATTTTTTAGATATAGTATTAGATTTATTAGTACTCTTTGATTTGACTTTATACTTCTTAATTTTTAATAAAGACAAGTTCTATGCATTCAGATGTAAAGAAAACAAACAATCTTTATTACCCGTATTCAAATCATAATAGAACATCTTAACATTCAGATGTTTATTCAGATTCAGACATTTTAATCTTAATACACATTAAATTGAGATGTGTATTCAGATTCAGACATTTTAATCTTAATAAAAACAAATGAGACCTTAGGCCTCATTTGTTTTTTTTAAGATTCAGACGTCTGAATCTGAATACACATATGAATATCAAGATGTGTATTAAGATTAAGACATCTGAATCTGAATACACATCTGAATATATTAAGATGTGTATTAAGATCTAAATACTAAATAATTAAGATTGTTTGATTTTTAGCATCTGAATGTATAAAATTTATCTTTATTTGAAAATTAATAAACATAAAATTCAAATTAAATACTAACTAATCTAATATTCTAATAATAAAATAGTTTTTTAAAATATGATAGTTGTTGGTGGTGATGGCTAACGGGTGAATGTCGACTAGAGGCGGTGGTTGGTAGTAGTTTTGGTTGATGATGGTGGTTCATGCTAGTAGCTAGTAGTGATTGGTAGTGGGGGCGATTATGATTGAGGATGGTGGTGGTGGGGTGTTTGTAGTAGTTGTGACTGAGAAGGTGGTGGGTGGGTGGTGGTAGGTTATAATGATGGGCGGTGCCGACTGTGGTTGTTGAGGGTGATGGGGTAGTCAGTTGTGGTAGTTGAGGTGGATGAGTGTTGATTGTGGGTGAGAATGATGGTGGTCGAAGTTGTAGGGATAGTGGGTGGTGATAGTCGATAATGGTGGCGGCTATGATTGAGGATGATGGTGGTGTGGTGGTGGTGGAGATAGCGGTGGTGGTGTGGTTGAGTATGGTGGTGGTGGCATGGTGGTAGTTGATAAAGGTAGGTGGTGACGACAGTTAATAATAAATATGTGATAGCATCTTAATGAAATTAAGTTTATGTTATAGATCTTAATCGTACAGACCTATTTAGACCCATTAAGCAGTTGTGAAGTAAAAAAAATAAATGCACTTAATGATTAAGATCTGAATAATTAAGATTCAGATTTTAAAAACAAACGCACTTAATGTCTGAGATCTGAATGATTAAGATTCAGACCTCCATTAAGTGTAAACAAATGAGGCCTTAGTCTCACTAGGGTCGTTTGGTTACCAGCTTAAGGATACTAATTCCGCGATAGAATATGAGATTGTATTTATTCCATATTTGGTTATGAGCATTAGCAATGGTGAGATAAATTTTATGCCAAAATATTAGCTTCCCATGTAGAAGGTGGGATAGCTAATCCCATGGGATATCCTTTTCTATCGCACCTTGTAACCAAACGACCCCTAAGTATTAAGATTCATTATTAAGGTTTCTAATATTATGATGTTGTTTTCTAAAATCTTTTGAGATCTCTAAAGAGTGGAGACAAAAATAAACCCAATTGTTTAGAAAAGAGCCGATAAACATTTAGAAACCTATAAACAAAAAACTTGGTATGCATTTGGGTGATATTTGAGTTGAACTTGAAAAAAGGTTTACTTGAAGCTAAAGTTAAGTGAAAGTTTGTAGAAGATGAAGTTGTTTCTGGACAAGAACTTCACCTGGAAAAAGAGTTTGTGAGTGGAAATTGAAGATTTGTTTGTCAAAATCTTCACTTGAAGATGAAAAGTTATCATGATATTAAAAAAAATACACCTGCATACTACTATTTCAAGTGAAGTTATGGCCACAAATGAGAAATTAATCCTTTTTATACTTTTTTTAGCGTTCAGAAAATTGAAGAGCAACGTAAACCTAAGTGGAAGTGTTTATGACTGGGAATAAAGTTAATACATTTTTTTGATTGGTGAAATAATAGTGCTCATATGGGACATGTAAGACTATTTCTCAGTAAGGGGCTTGATTAGAATATTTTTCTTCTTTTGATTGTTAAGCTTGATTAGTAAACTATGATGAAAAATTGGGCACCCAAGGGTGTGATTTAGTGGTCAAACTGATTGCATACCTTGGAGACCAAAGTTCAAATCCTTGTAGAGACAAAAAACGCTAGGCGATCTCTTTTCATCTATGTTGGTGAGAGGTAGCTGGTACTCAGTGAAATAGTCGAGGTGCGTGTAAGCCGGCCTAGACACCACCATTATATAAAAAGGGGAAAAAACTTGAGGTATAGTGTGGCTTCATGCTGAGGTATAGTAGTGTAATGATGTATACTGGAAGAAGGTAATCAAAGAAAAATATGGTGCATTGGGAGTAAAATGTGGGAGGACTCGAGCTCAAATATGTGGTTCCACAGTAGGGAATGGCTCAGTTTTTCGCATGATAAATGGTTATGAAGCTGCACCTTGAAAGGAATACCTGAATTATTTCAGTTTGTAAGACATCCTCAGGCTACACATGCAATTTAGATATGCAACTCATGGAACATTGTATTTAGGAGAAGCTGCTAAGACTAGGAAATAAACAGCATGATCGAGTTATTTACTAAGCTGGAGAATGTAAGACTTCATATCAGGTGAAGGACAGGTTGAAATGGGGCAATAGTGAAAATGGATAGTTCACTGTGAAAACATGTTATAGCAATCATTACAGGAACAACAAGATTGTTGAACATTGGCTCCATAATTGGAAAACAAGTCCCAATAAAGGTAGCTTGTTTCAGTCAGATAGCATTTCTTGAAGCCCGCCTTACAGAGGACAATCTTAAGACGAGAGGAGTCATCTTGTTCTACAGATGCTATATGTGTAGTGGTGGCAAAATGGATAAAAGAAAACAGTTATCTACCACCCATATTATCCATTTAAACATGGGTTGGATAATGAACTTTTTGAAAACGGGTCAAATATGGAAAAGAACCACATTATCCACTTAGAAAATGGATAACCAATCGATAACTAATGGGTTTAACTTTTATATTTGTAAAGCCTCAAATTGAGGGTTCCTCAAGTTTGGGGGATTAGGAATTCTCCCAAAGTGATCATATTCAAGAAGCCATGGATAATATGGATATTTGTTGTTGTTGTTTTGTGTTACCCGTTTTCGACCCGCCTATATCCGAACCGACCCGCCCGTTTGTCACCCCTGTATATGGGCATGAAAGAAGCTGAGATTGAAATCACTTCTTTCTTTGCTGCTCTATAACCAAAAACATGTGGCATATGTTTTTGTGTCTTTTAGGGGTATGTTGGGTAATGCTCTGAGATGCCTCAATTAGTTGGGGACAATAGATAGCTGGAAATCCATCAATGGTATTTGGCAAATGGTCCCACCCGAGGAATTACACATGTTCTGATGGAATATCACTCCCAGCTTCCTTTAAGGCGTAGTTGTCTGATGGGCCTTTTCTGATTGTGCAAATTGTGCAGTGTAAATAATTTGGATCATCTTATGAATTTGGTTAGTGTCAGAATCACTGTACAGGGCTATATCCTTTCTGCACTTATTTGCATCCTCTGGATGCTTGTTTTTTTGTTTGTTGAGATGGTAACATAATCCTCAGGATGCTTGTTAGTGAAATTCTTTACTCTTTTTTTTGATAACTCTGAAATCCGTCTAGGGCCAATCCTTAGGACCAATTGTAGCCTTTGAAACTCAGGGATAATGGGCCAGCCCGTCTACCCTTCTCCACTTAAATATCTGGCTTAGTTCGCATAGCGCAGGGCTCGGACCTGTGACCTAAGTCACAAGTCCCTCAACTTTTGTCAGTTGAACTAATCCCTGGGGCATGAAGTCCTATACTTAATCCAAAAAAAAAAAGTTGATTAGCTCTCTCCTCGTCACAAGGAGAAACCACCCAAGCGGAAAAAAAGACATGCTTTTAGCTCTTCTAATTTGAAGGAGCGAGTTGTTGAAGAATACGGGAATTGATGGATAGAAATTTTCTGATGATAAACATGTTTTTTTCTAAAATTAAATGACCTCTATTTTTAAGAATGTCCCTCTGAAGACTAGTTCACCTCAAACCTTTGGCGATCAACTAGATAATGAATCGTCCTCCGTGCTATTGCTTTAGATTCAAACTACATGCTTTGTAACTTTAGGAATTCCTTTCTTACTGGTCTGATCTTATATCGCTGTAGTTTTTATAAGTGCTATGCAAGGTATTTTTTATTTTCTCTCCTTGTTGTTATGTGCATGGAAGTCCAATTTGACTGATAATTTTGTTTTGTTCGCTAGGGAATTAAGAGTGATGTCAGAACAAGTTCAGGAATGTTTTTGAGCCCTGATGAGAGGAAGTATCCCATGATACAGGTCTGTACAGCACAGTGGTCCTTTCAACTCCTCTTGTTCTCTCTTCTTCTTATTCAAAGCTCAACATGATATGCTACTATCTTTGGCAATATCTTGCTGAGTTAACAAGGTTCTTTTATCCCACTCGGGTTCCCCTGTCTTTCACTTGCATTTTCTTGTGTATAAAATAACATTCCGATTATGTGGTGGCTGGTATTGATAGTAAAAATTGGTCTTACATTGGTGATTTTCTTTGCATTCCTGTACTTGCAGGCAATTGAAAAACGAATTTCTGTATATTCTCAAATACCAGTTGAAAATGGGGAACTCATTCAAGTGTTAAGGTATGTATTATGAGAATTTGCTTTTTTCTGTTTTTCATAATGAGATGGAAAGCTGATATGTTCAAGTATCAAGGCTAACATCTGCAGAAGCACAGGTATGAAAAGAATCAGTTCTATAGAGCCCATCACGACTATTTCTCTGATTCAGTAAGTTCTTACTCCAATTTATTAGTTTGTTATTTCTGCTAGTGGCTTATTTCTCTGTTTTCTATTTGTCATTTGGACAGATCTCTTTTCACATATCAATTTACTGTTGTCAAACTGAGAGATTCACTTACTTTATTTTGCAGTTTAACGTGAAGCGTGGAGGTCAACGAATAGCAACAATGCTCATGTATTTGAGCGACGGCGTTGAGGGGGGAGAGACATACTTTCCTATGGTAATTACTCATGAAACCTTGACTGAAAACTTCTTTCCTGTGTGAGAATGCACGGAAGAAAAATCTATTACTGATCAATTAATTATACAATGAGCCCTATTTATAACTATACATAATACAGATCCTACTCTTGTTCAATATGGGACTCGGATTAATCACATATTAACTTATAACTATCTAACACTCCCCCTCAAGCTGGTGCATACAAATCATATGTACCGAGCTTGTTACATATGTAACTAATACGAGGACCAGTGAGGGACTTGGTGAAAATGTCTGCAAGCTGAATATTTGACTTCACAAACTTTGTAGCAATATCTCTTGAGAGTATCTTTTCTCTGACAAAATGACAGTCAATCTCAATGTGTTTAGTTCTCTCATCGAACACTAGACTTGATGCAATATGAAGGGCAACTTGATTATCACACACAAGTTCCATCTCGCTAATTTCACCAAATTTCAACTTATTAAGCAAATGTTTGATCCAAACTAGCTCACATGTTGCCATAGCCATTGCTCGATATTCTGCTTCTACACTAGACCGAGCAATCACATTCTGTTTCTTGGTCTTCCAAGACACCAAATTACCTCCTACTAAAATACAATATCCAGACGTAGAACGTCTATCAGAAGGTAATCTTGCCCAGTCAGCATCTGAGTACCCAATAATTTGCTCATGGCCTCAATCTTCAAAAAATAATCCTTTGTTTGGAGATGATTTTATATATCAAAGAATGCAGGCAATTGCATCCCAATGACTATCACAGGGAGAATCCAGGAACTGACTTACCACACTCACAGGAAAAGAAATGTCAGGTCTAGTCACTGTGAGGTAATTTTGTTTACCAGCCAGTCTCCTATATCTTGCGGGAATGCTAAGCAGCTCCCCTTGTCATGGTAGAAATTTAGAATTCGGATCCATAGGAGTGTCAACAAGCCTATAGCCTGTCATTCCTGTCTCCTCAAGAATGTCTAAGGCATACGTCCATTGTGAGATTACAATACTTGAGCTAGACTGAGCGACCTCAATTCCTAGAAAATACTTTAATTTGCTCAGATCCTTAGTCTGAAAGTGCCGAAAGAGATGTTGCTTCAACTTAGTAATACCATCCAGATCATTGCCAACTGATATCAATTTTTCATCAAAAATATCCAAGTGCACCTAGAATAATCATCACTGAAACTGACAAAGTAGCAGAATCCCAAGGTAGAACTGACCCGACTAGGACCTATACATCTGAATGGACTAAAGTAAAAGTTGAATCTGCTCGATTATCAAGACGCCGAGGGAAATAGGAGCAGGTACGCTTGCCGGCTGACATGACTCACACTCTAGAGTGGACAAGTGAGATAAACCAGGTACCATTTTCTAAAGTTTTGACAAACTGGATGTCCCAACCGTTTATGTAATAAATCGGGTGAATCAATAACATGACAAGTTGTTGAAGGAAGACAAGATGTGAATCTATGTGATTTTGCAAGGATAAGGTAATAAAGTCCATTTGATTCACGTTCAGTACCAATAATCCGCCCCGTACTGCGTTCATCTAAAGGTAAGGAAGGAAGTGAACTTGCTTGGCCTATTCCAGTGATACAACCTAGGGAGAACCACACCCCAAAAGCTAGCTATTAAGGTGGGAGAGCCCAAGGCTATATAAATCCCACATCAACACTTTGTAGCACCGATGTGGGACTCAAGTCCCATTCCTTGCAATAGTTCATAACAAACCACCACGCTCCGCATCCGTCGTCCTCGACGGCTGTGCGCTAGACATTTCTAGCCTCGGGCGAACACTGCAATACCGGCGTCACCATCCAAGGCATGGTGGGCACAGAGGGTAGTGGATAACTCTGATACCATTGATAGAAACCAGAAGTAGATAACAAAATAAATAGAACAAAGAAGTTAATATTACTGGCAATAGTTTGTGCAAGAATCTTAAACATAACTACACCAATAAAGTTGTCCGTATGAAGAGGACAATGCTCCAGAATAAAGTAGTTTTGATTGTGATAATGATGCCTACTCATTACAGGATCTATTACTTATATAATAGGCTGACCATAACTATTGCATAACCTATTAGGATAAAGATAATTAACTTCTAATAACCATAATAAAACTGCTAAACAGATAACTTCTAATAAACTTCTAATAACTGAAAGCTCCAGGAATTATCTTCTCATAAATTTCTTTGCTTGTTCTGGAAGATACGTGGCTTATCAGTAAATTGATACAACCTAGGGAGAACCACACCCCAAAAGCTAGCTATTAAGGTGGGAGAGCCCACGGCTATATAAACCCCACATCAACACTTTGTAGTACCGATGTGGGACTCAAGTCCCATTCCTTGCAATAGTTCATAACAAACCACCACGCTCCGCACCCGTCGTCCTCGACGGTTGTGCGCTAGACATTTCTAGCCCGGGCGAACACTGCAATACCGGCGTCACCATCCAAGGCACGGTGGGCACAGAGGGTGGTGGCTGGCTCTGATACCATTGATACACCCTAGGGAGAACCACACCCCAAAAGCTAGCTATTAAGGTGGGAGAGCCCACGGCTATATAAACCCCACATCAACACTTTGTAGTACCGATGTGGGACTCAAGTCCTATTCCTTGCAATAGTTCATAACAAATCACCACGCTCCGCACACGTCGTCCTCGACGGCTGTGCGCTAGACATTTCTAGCCCCCGGGCGAACACTGCAATAGCGGCGTCACCATCCAAGGCACGATGGGCACAAAGGGTGGTGGATGGCTCTGATACCATTGATACAACCTAGGGAGAACCACATCATGGTGAACACACGGACCAACGCTTCCCACAGTGAACCCACCATTCCTACCCTTGACCCGATTTCCCAACAATTGACGACTATAGCAGCGAAATTGGAAGTCATAGGTGCTTTAGCCGTTGATGTGGCTGCATTAAAAGCACAGCACAGTGGAGATCACAACAATAAAGGGAAAGCTAAAGCCACACAATCCTTCGATTTTCTGTCATCCCGCCAACCAGTTACACGTCCTTTTCAACCACCATCACTTCCAAACACTCGCCCGTTGACTCCTGAACAACAAATTCGGCGAGACAAAGGCCTTTGCTGTCGTTGTGGAGAAAAGTTTAGCCCTGGTCATCGCTGCAAATCTGGGACTTTTGCTCATCTGGAGTTGATGCAAGAAGAGAACGACACACGGATTGTGAAAGATAACAACAAAAATGACATGTTTCCTACTGATATGGGTACAATTTCTCGAACTTCGCCTTCAGGATAAGTCGTTTTTCCAGGAGGGGTGTACTGATAAGCCACGTATCTTCCAGAAGAAGCAAAGGAACTTATGAGAAGATAATTCCTGGAGCTTTCAGTTATTAGAAGTTTATTAGAAGTTATCTGTTTAGCAGTTTTATTATGATTATTAGAAGTTAATTATCTTTATCCTAATAGGTTATGCAGTAGTTATGGTCAGCCTATTATATAAGTAATAGATCCTGTAATGTGTAGGCATCATTATCACAATCAAAACTACTATATTTTGGAGCATTGTCCTCTCTATACGGACAACTTTATTGGTGTAGTTGTGTTTAAGATTCTTGCACAAACTATTGCCAATAATATTAACTTCTTTGTTCTATTTATTTTGTTATCTACTTCTGGTTTCTATCATCCAGCTGCCACGGTTTGAGACCCGTTGGACATCTTGACCATTGGAAGAGATTGAGAACATGAGATAGTAGTGAAAAGAGATTTGTTGCCAGAAATATGATCAGATGCACTTGAATCAATGACCCATGAATTGGAGGATGAAGATTGGGAGACACAAGTCACGCTATTACATGTTTGAACAACGGAAGCTGTCTTTTAAGATGTCTGTTTACATGCTTTGTACTGAAGGAACTCAATATAATCCGGTAGAGAATCCATCCAACTATTCATAGTATTGGATCCCATGTCGCTACAATTAATTTCTCAAATTCTTCACCAAAAGTTGTAGGGTTAACTTGAAATAGTGGAAATTAGTAACTCCTAGAAAACCAGAGAAAAAAAAAATCTGGGAGAACACTGGTCACGCCGGAAAAAACTGTAGGCCGCTGGAAAATTTTAAAGTTGTCGGAATCTGTCGGAACCAGTACTAGTGGACTCGGAATTGCTGTGCGAACAGTCTGTCTTGAAGAAGCTCGGCCAAAAAATGGCCGAAAGAAGCCTCACGCGCCGGCGCGTGACGTTGGAGTGTCGTCGGAAAATATTCTTCCGGTGGCGCGTGAGGGTGCGTGGGAGGGGGTCTGCCGGAAATTTTTTTACGGGTTGGTCGCTGGAAACTGATCTACCTCGTGTTGGTGTTGGTTTTAGCACAACACTGACGGATATGAACTTTTTTTTTATGCGGACAGTCTTGATTTGCCAGAAAAAAGACTTTTTTTCTTTCAGGAGTCGCTGGAATTCATGCACAACGATAAATATCTCATGATAGCTCTGATACCATGTGAGAATGCATGAGAGAAAAATCTATTATTGTTCAATTAATTATAATACGATGATTCCCTATTTATTACTATACATAATACAGATCCTACTCCCTGTTCAATATGGGACTCGGACTAATATAACTATCTTAACATCCTGTATGATTGACACTTTATTTTCTGTTGTAGAGTATTCCACTTGGATTGTTTGAAATGTATCTATTATGGGATGCCTTCAATCATATTCAGTCAATTAGATGATTAGCAGAAGATATTTTACAAAAAGAGAAAAATTGAATAGTAGTTTCTGGAGGAATTAGTTATTCTAATATTCAGTTTCTGGAAGGGTTTTTGCAAGAGCTTTCTGCTGCCATTAATGTCTTTTTTTGTATTATATGTTCCATGTATGATGCTTCCACCAGGATAATATGTCTTGTGAATGTTGCTTGAACGCTCGTTATAACTTGCTGTTAGTGTTTGGGATAATGAAATCGCTCTCCAGCAGAATTACCCTAATGGATGCAACTTTCTTCAGCATATTCTACAGTGAATAAGAATGATAGATTCACTTATCTTTTTTTTTTTTTTTTTTTTTTTTTTTTTAAATTTTATTTTATAAGATAGTTGCTGTTGATCTTATGTTGGAGAGTCAGTAGGTGTTCATCTTTTGTCCAAGTTCTCAAACGTTTGGAAACTTGATTTCTTTTCATTTCATAGTTGAAAGATGTGACAATTGAAAGTTCAACTACTAGCAATTTTAGCATTACTCTGTATCATGTAATTCTTAGAGAATATGTTGGGCTAAAATTATGCCCTTGTGTTATTATGCCAGAACATCTAACCATTTTTTGTCCGAGCAAATGAATTATGATTCTAAAAATCGTCCATGTGAATCAAACCAAAATTTATAGCCTTTAACCTTCTCCGGCACCCTGTAATCCTATTGCTCCCCCCCTACAAATTATTGCATTCCTAATAGCTAATGCGGATTATGGTGGTTTTGCAATTCTGAAATGGTTGTAGGACGTAGGAGTAATTTGTAGGGTCTAGAGAGGCAAGCATAGAAGGAAAGAAGGGGGTGGAGGGTGTAAAAATTCTATTGAGTTAACTTACTGTTTGATTCTATCTTTTTGTTTGATTTTGTTCACTATCTCGAAAAGGACTAAATTGGCTTATTTCAGATAGAACTGCGTATAAAATCTGTAGAGCATAGTATTTCAGGGAGAATAACAAAAAAATAAACTATAATTTTGGGACTAAATGCCTTAACTGAGTTTGTCTTAGTTATGTATGTTCTCCGAAGACGATGAAGATGATAGGTCAACTTAAGTTTCTCGCCTCTGTATTTGTTAAGATAAAACTGCTTGTGATACCTGACAATGCATGCTTCTTATTCCAATTTCTTCAGTGCACCTGTGACCATGCATGTTGATTCTTCCAAATTTGGTTCCTTTTCTGTCTCTATTGCACATTTTAACTTTTTTCCCCCACATTTCTAGTTTCATGCTATCTGTTTCAATTTGGCAATGCTGTCTTCAGGCTGGCACTGGTGAATGTAGCTGCGGTGGCAAAATGATCAAAGGGTTATGTGTAAAGCCTACTAAAGGAGATGCTGTTCTCTTTTGGAGCATGGTTAGTGTCTTCACCTACTATAACCTTTTTGCTGGAACTTTTCACAAAGATTTCGTCTATGAAACCCTCTAAATTACTCCAAAAGATTTTGGCCTAGTTGCTTTTGAGATTTTAATTACTGCATATCCTGTTAGTCGTTTGACTTGGCATCCGTAATCTGTCACATGTCCAGTATTTAGAGCGGTACTTTCCTTAGTTGAATCTAGTTCCTTTATGTATCATCCTGACATGAGGGGATATGAGACTATTATTTCATTTATTTGCCGGATACAGACAGGGTTACTAATCTTTGATTGAAGGTGACAGGGTTACTAAATCTTTGTACATATATTAAACTAATGAAAGCTTCTGCCTTAGGTTTCTTTGGTTATCTATAGCCAAACCATGAGCTATTAAAAATTTAACTGAGAATTTTATTAACATACGTGCTTTTAAGTCCTACAAAATTACAAACACATAATTTTTCATGTTTGTATGTAAAATGGTTGACTCCACATAATCACTTAGCCCAATAGCATCTCCCTAGTTCTTGGAAAAAAAAAATAGCACGAGTGTAAGTTTCTTATACGATAGGTAAGTCGTGGGGGTTCAATTCTCACTATCTCCTTTCCCCATCCCCGGGCTTTCCTGCATCGCTGATCCCCCAGCGTAAACAAAGAATTCCTTCATCAGAAAAAAGGAGGAAAAGAAGGAATCTGAAAAAGTGGATATTAGGCGTGTCATCTAGACACTTGTGCATGCCACTAAATTCAGGACATTAAGTGCTTTAGTTTCTATATTTATAAAATTATTTTGTTGTATGAAACCATGCGTTCCATTTAATCATGATTGAACGATGGTATCTGTGTTATTTTTAATGCAGGGGCTTGATGGACAATCTGACCCTGAGAGTTTACATGGAGGATGTGAAGTACTCTCAGGAGAGAAGTGGTCAGCTACTAAATGGATGAGGCAAAGACTTGTATCCTAAATTGTTGATATATCTTAAAATTTTTTTGTTCTATAGTGTATCTTGATAGGGGGAAAAAAAAGTAAGAAAGGGGACTTCAAATATCTTTTTGTAAAATTAGCAACAAACGAACTAGGAAATACAGTCATATATAGTTTACTCATTGAAGTAAACTTGAGCCATCCTGGTAAATGACTAGCAGAATAGGGGAGAGATAGCAAGGGAGATTGCTTTTACTGCATGTGAAAGGAAAAGGTTGCCAATTTTTCCTGTCCTGTCCCTTATACCATACAAAGAAAGGAAAATTGTTGTTGTTGATTTTCTCTATTTCCTTTTATTTTCTGTTCCTTCTTCCTTCCTTTCATGTCTAAACACGCTAAAAAAACGTTTTAAGATGATATTAAGCGAAGATAAGGTGGGAGTTAGTATTAATCCTTAGTCGATTGTCATAAATTTAGTTTTTTCAAATCGAATGTTTTGTTCTGCTTTAACACAATCACAAATTACAGAAGTTGTAATTGAAAATGTAATGTTAAATATGGAAAGGGTAATTAGAGTATGGTTTGCTTACCGCACTCTGTACTTTATGCTTATAGTCCATTTTGAAGCTTACGTTTCCGTTTAATAAAATAAAAAAATGATTGTTACAGCAAATGAACCTAAGTGCTCTTTTCTTCTATTTGTAGAGTAACTCAATTTCAAGTATTGAGTGATTTCACTTGCCTAGGTTATACATGACATTAAAGATATATGTGCAAAATTGACAAACTTGTGTAATATAAAGGGCAATATAGCCCCCTTAAAGTTGGCATGAATTGTAACTTAAGACATTTTAATTAAGCTAGTGACCAGGAAGTGTGTATCATAAATCTCTCATGCTCATTCAAATTTGCGAGCGTGAAGCATATTATCATGTTATCACTCAAATGCTAACTTAGCTAGTGACTAGATAGATATGACTTCCTCTTCTAACTTACAAATCATAGTATCATACCAACTTTAAGGCAAAGTTGTGTGAACGTGTCCAAGACCTAAATAGAGTGGCCTCAACTGAGTAAAGCCAATGCCTTTGCTGGCTACTTTTAACTTCATTTCTGGTCAACATCAATCCTTTTACATACTTTTTCAAGTCGCAATATATATATATATATATATATATATATATATATATATATATATATATATATATATAGTTAGTTATACGTTGTTGATGTTGGACTTCTTCAATAAAAACTAGCAACCGTTCAATGAATTATTTAAGTCTCAAAACATTCACTTTTTTCTTCAATAAAACTAACAACATTTCAATGAATTTTTTTGGTGTTAGGTATTAGGCTATTAGAAACCTGAGCCAGAACATTTCAATCAACTTCATATAAAATACATTTTCAAGTTCTGAACTAGCTGCTAGCCCACGCTAGGCATGATAATTCACTTATATAGTCGTACTTTTTATGTATGGTCTAACTAATATCATACATGATAGAGTGAGTGGCATGTATATACAGATATTGACACACTTTAAATTTGTTGGAGATTTTGTTATGTGAAATATTAAGAGTATATTGTGTAGTCGTAGTATGATGACATGGTGAAGTAGATAATGAACCAACAAGATTGTTTCTATATGTATTTTGTAGTCTGCATTTGTGAAAGTGTTTGAAAAATAAATGAGCAAGAAACATCCAATAATCCACACCAACTTTTGATCAAAAAAATGTTTTACACCTTGAGGAGTCTTTTGGTTGGGAAACAAGTTATCACATGATTAAGTATCCAGGAATTAGTTATCCCACCCTCACATAGAGATAAAAAAAACACTACATTCCCGGGATAACTAATCCAGGGATTAGCTATACCACGATTTTATCCAAACCAAACGTGGGATAAACTCATTTTAAATGTAATTCCGGGACTAATTATCCTTTATCGCTCGTACCAAACAACTTCAGATTAATCCTGAAACTCAAACCAATGGATGCCAAATTGCCAACAGTCATATAAAACTACACATAACTGTTTCATTTAAAACTTCAGGTTGACTGCTAAAAAGAGATCAGGAAGGAAAGCACTGAATAGTGTGTTTCTGTTCATCCGATTTAAGTGATTACTTGGTCAATGCTATGTCACAGAATTTCCAGGAATTGTGCATATGGATATATATTTAATTCGACAAAAATCAAAAGTGTTTTGTGCTTTATCTGAGTAATTCAGTTTGTGATTGTTGCATTTTTGATAATTTGACACGAGGAAAAGAAAATCATAATTTTCTGTGCCCAATTGTCAAAAGCTCGTTGATGTCAGAATATTATTCAAAGAATCACTTGTAATTAGCTTGCAATTAGAGGCCTAGTGTTTTTGTTACTTTTCCTAGAAGATGGTTGTGGAACTAAGTGCTTTTTAGCTGTATTGATTAACTTGATGGGAAAATGATATTGTATAGCTGCTCTCAAAATAATAGCCGAAAATATATATATTTTTTGTATTTATATTCATTAGGTATGTTATATTCAAGAATTATACAGATTTTACACACTTTTTTGGCTACCGAATGTAAATAGTTTCCGGCGAGGATTAAAAGTGAAAAAAGCCCTAATTTATTTGTTATGGTAATATTCACAATTGCTTAAGAAAAAAAGACGATCTCAGAAAAATACGTTCGGGTAATTATCAAGCGTTCGGGGTTTGATCATTATCTTTTTCAGGTTATTTGCTGCTTATTATAGACAAATATATGTAACTAGTAAATTTACCCGCGCTTCGCGGTAATACGAAGAAATCAATACATTAAAGAAAAAAATAGTAAGCTAATAATGAAATTAAAGAATTGACATTATGAGATAGACATTTAGTTGAGTATATTGAATTAAAGATAGTGGGAAACAATTTAAAGAGTAAAAAATATCAAGTACTCGAGTCCATTACTCAAATGGTCACTGAACTATCCCAAATTATCTTCTAAAGTCACTTTTCTTTCGTTTGTAACAACAAAGTCACTAAACTATGTCTATTGCACTCAAAAGGTCACTCAACTAGATTTTCTAAATTTTGGATTGCCAAATACCTATTTTACCCTCTAAATTACAAACATTTATCTTCTTTTTATCATTTTAAAACTTTTTAATATTGTAATTTTTCCCTTTTAATTTATATTATGGACTTACCTATAGAATAAATTGATATTATTTATAAATTAAAAAAATAGAAAGTATTTAAGCATATATAATGCTAGAATAATAAAATAACAAGCATAGTAAAAAAAATTAATTAGAATAATTTGTTAGTAATAATAATTTTAGTATTAACAACAAAAATTCAAAAAATTATTTACACAATTCCGAATGAAAGAAACAAAGGCTGTAAAATATATATTACATGCACGTAATACAAAATAATTATTTAAATAAGGGTATTGTTATAATATACATTATATATGTTTGAAATTATGCTCAATTATTTTATTATGTTTCTACCAACTTTTTGACGACACAAAGTTATGTCATCGGAAAGCAGGAGGATTATCTGTATAGGTTAAAATATGCTATGTTAAGTCGTGCATGGAATATATACAACATAATTGAGCATAATTTCAAGAATATATTATGTATATTAAAAAGTACCTTTATTTAAACAATTATTTTATATTACGTGCATGAAATATATATTTTACAACCTTTATTTTCTTTTATTCTGAATTGAGTAAATAAATTTTTGAACTTTTATGTTAATACTAAACTTATTATTACTAACAAATTATTCTAATTATTTTTTTACTATGCTTATTATTTTATTATTCCAGCATTATAATGCTTAAATACTTTTATTTTTTAATTTATAAATAATATTTATATTCTATAGGTAAGTCCATAATATGAATTAAAAAGGGAAAAATCATAATATCAAAAAGTTTAAAAATAATAAAAAGAAGATAAATGTTTATAATTTAGAGGGTAAAATAGGTATTTGGCAATCCAAAATTTGGAAAATCTAGTTGAGTGACCTTCTGAGTGCAATAGATACGGTTCAGTGACTTTGTTGTTACAAGCGAAAGAAAAGTAACTTTAAGAGATAATTTGGGTTAGTTCAGTGACCATTTGAGTAATAGAATAATTATTGCTAGATCGCGAACTACACTTATTCCCAAAACAAAATATTCAATATTTAAAAGATATCATATGAAGTTGACATTGTGGTCTTGCAAGCCCCAACTACTGTGAACACCTCTGTTGCTATCACTATGTGTTGGTAAGTACACATCTACTACTCTTTGCATTTCCTAATGAGAAGCTTTCCTAAACACCGCAACATCATAAAATGTTAACTTTCTGCTGCCTGCCCAATATTTTTGCGGTAAAAACATATTCCCAAATACCGCATCATAATCAACATTACCAGTTTTATAAACTGTTAACTTCAACCTTTCCATGAGGCAACGACAAAATGCTGTCCTTTTTTTCTATAATAGCAAATGGCATTCTGTCAAAGATGTTTTAACAGTTAGACAAACACACCAAGATTATGATAAAAGTAACCGGCAAAATGTAACCGCAATCATTATGAAAATAGGTAATTTTAACTAAAGTTGATCCTTACTTAGCAAAATCTCTTGATTGACACCTATTCACGAACTCAACTGCATACTTTACGAAACCCATTAGACTAAGAAAAGGGTTTCCACACAGTAGATACCAACTTAATTTGCATTAATATAATCTAATTCTGGTTAGTGAAAGTGATGAAAGCCAAAGTGTCAATATGAAAATAATAGTATGACAGGAATTCCAAATAAAAGGGCTATTGACCATAGGAATAAAAGCAAACTACAACAAAATGTTGTTAGGATCGAAAAAATCACGTGTCACACGAAAGTTAGTAAAGGTGTTATCTTGTATGAGTCCACCAAACAATATAGTACCGGGTCCTCTATAAGGTTATGCTGAGAATGCTAGCAAAACAGTAAGTAAATGAGACACAGGATTTTTACGCGGAAAAATCCCAACTCAAGGGGACAAAAACCACGACCTACGCCTGTAGGCTTTCAACTTTACTAACTTGTAAACACCTACTACAAGCCACTTTGTAATGACTCTATTACAAAGGATTCAACACAACTAACTTGTGGTACTCTTACCACAAGCCACTTTGTTACTCTCTAGTTACAAAGGATTTGACTAACTTGTGATGCTCTTACCACAAGCCACTTTGTCACACTCTAGTAACAAAGACTTTTACTTATGACTAAACCTAGTCACAACATAAACTCTGAGAGTTTACGAATTTTGCACGAGGATTCCTAATCAATGCTTCTGGCTAAGCAGTTTAGGA